TCTTCAAATTATATAACATCCTGGAATTGTGTTGATCAGCAATTTCAGGTAGCCTGGCACTGCAGGAGGAACAAATGGTTACCGCCCCTGAGACCATGAACCTCCATGGACTGGAACATTTTCCTGGTGTTGGTGGCGCCATATACAATAATCGGAATCTCACAAAAGACGAAACGTGTTTTTTGTACTAACGATGATGGCAGTATAACAATAAACATATCCATAATAAAACAAAAGAAGTTGATAATGTGATCGTTGGTGGTGCTAGTAGTTCCGTCTGAAAACAAAGGGTGTTTGAGAAGTAACGCTGGTGGCGCTATTACATTTTGTAACAACAAAAATAAACGAACGGATTTAACATATTTAACGTAGGTGGCGTAGTAACAATCCAGACACATTCAAAACGAATACGAATATATCATTAATATATGTTCTACCTATACGTTATAACATTTTCTTCTATGCTATCGATAAAGAGCCATTGCTCGAAACATCTGGCTATTTTTAATAGTTATTTAGGACTACGATTACCGAATATTATCTTCTATATATCATATTTATCAGTCCGAGCAGAGTTTATTTATTTATAAACTACTATTACGATTAATATTGAACGTTGGTGGTGTCATAAACAAGATATAAAAACGATCGCAGTTATAATTTTTGACCGTAGATAGCGCTACACACAATATTTTATTCCACACTACTATTTACATTACAGTCCCTGGACAACTGTAGAGCAGAAACACAATTTAAATGGTACGGAACAGGTACGGAACCTGGATACGGAAGAAAGAGAGTAAATGACACCCAAATTGCGTGAAGTTGCCTGTAAATCTAGTTCCTGGACTAAGTATCTTGAATTCGATGGATTGCTTAGAGTCGGGTGCTGAGTTTGAACTAAATGTCCGGGCTAAACAGTAAGCGGTAGCTGCAGATTCTGACCGACGTTACGCTACCTTTATTTGTTATTTTTATTTTTGTGTTTTCTCTTATTTGGTCTCTATTTTGACAATGAGCCACAGCTACGCCAACGTCTGTCCGCCAGTCACTATACCCGGGCATTGTACGTAATATTTTCCCGGTTACTTTCAGTCTTTTTTGACGCAAACGAAGGTGTGAAGAAAACGAAGGGTTTAGAATTTTATCATGATAAAGGCACGTGCGCTCGGTAAGTTTCTGGGACAATAATCAAAATAAGAAGGGATATACTTGGGGGGGGGGTCTTGTTTTGGCTCATCACTCACAAAATATTTCATGCCCCACAGTGTTCAAGTAGGGAACCCTTGATGTTCAAATCAAGGTCCATATTTTTAGACAAGCTTTTATTAAAAAGTACATCAGGTTTCATGAAGGCGTGAGTTTGTTTTTCATAACAAATATTTATAAATGTCAAATGATGATTGAAAACAACTAAACCAATAATAAGCTGATGAATTCCTTCTGTATAGAACTCTACTGTTGTCAGTTAACCACTCCTTTTGACACTGGCTCGCAAAGACTCACAGGGTTTTCAACAGCCATTGCATTTGAATGAAGTGTGATGATCCTTCAGGATATATGTTTTAGAAATATTTATAAATGCCCATAAAATAAATTCACGCCTTCATGAAAACCAGTGTAATATTGAACTGAACTGAAGCCTTGACAGAAACGATAGTTCTTTTTCATGCAATACTATTTCACTACCAGAAAATATATATCCATTACTGTCCCAAAAATACATCTCAAACATCCCTGTCCCAATGTTAATCAAACTTGGTTTAAATGTTGCACATATTTGGCTAACTATGCACCTTCTTTTGTTTCATGATTTGATTGATCCAAAAAACCAAATGAACATGTATTTCAAGGTACCTTTTGACCTAGCTCTACACATCACCTGTTTCTATGATTCTAATCCCAACCCACAGACCATTCATATGAATGCAGGGTTATCTTTGACCTATTTTGTTTTAATTTGGACATGTACAATAGGTGATTTTCCGTTCAACTGCGAGATCTCGCGAGATGCATGAAAGACGCACGTCGAACGTCTGCCGCAAAAATCGAACGATTTGATTTTCAACTCGAATTTCTTTATTTCGTAGCTCACATCGACAGGCCGATCTTCGACAGAGGAATATTGATTCCGAATACCCTCACTTAATCATGTGTATCATCAAATGTATACAGCACATTATTAAACATGGAAATGCCCCCAAAATATTTTCGCGTTTATCGAATCCCACGCGATGTTTGACGCCACTACGACGCTATGACCTTTGTTTGTCCTGTTTTTACGTTCGATTTCACGCATAACACGTGATTCTCGCAGTGTACGGAAAATGGTTTATTTACAATCAAAACGACTATTATAAATCATGTTGGAAAACTGATATCTGTCAATTGTTTTTTTTTATTTTATTCAAATTAGTGACCATTTGTTTGTTGTTTTTAGTATGTCCTTGCCTGTATCTTGGACAGACTTTGACTCAGACAAGTTATGATATTCATATTAACCGGCATTAAATTTTGAATACCATTATTGGATAAAGTGTACCAATAACAAAATGTCATTGTTCAGGCTATAGACACCTGGCATGTTTTCCCTTCCTTGTTCTCAAATGTTGATTACAGTAAGGGGATTATATACAATGACAATCACCTGTTCTTGAATATTTTTTGTGAAAAATGTGATTTTGATTTTTCTTGACATTCTTCAAAGCCTGATTGTTTTGATCTTCAATACCAGGTTTGTCAAATTACCTGTATTTTGTACTACCGGTAAATAGTTTTCTTTTTGATCTAATCTTCAATACCAGGTTTGTCAAATTACCTGTATTTTGTACTACCGGTAAATAGTTTTCTTTTTGATCTAATCTTCAATACCAGGTTTGTCAAATTACCTGTATTTTGTACTACCGGTAAATAGTTTTCTTTTTGATCTAATCTGAAATTTTGAAATTCCTCAGTATTTTTTGTTGACCAAAAATTGTTAAAAGGCGGTGGTTGTCGTACATGCATGAGATATGGGTCTCATATAAAGAAAGATGGCGACCGAGATCTTACCAAAATTTAATTAGGTATTTATTAGGTGATTTGAAGTCATCAAAGGAATCACCGGTGGTAATTAATGCATATTGCACCCAGGTCAAAAATCATACTTGCCATTTCCATTAGAAGAGCTCATTGAATTTATTAATTGTGGAAATTTGAATGTTCATCAACACAAATGTTGCACATTCTGCTGATGACAGGCAGTACAGAAATATTAATATTAGTGATAATTTATTTTACACGCTAAATGAACTATTGACAAAATATGCATACACTTTTAAAAGTTAGTAGAAAGAATTGAATATATTTATGTAATATTCTAAAATAAGTTATTTAAAAAACTGTATAAAAATACTGATTGTAATACAGAACATTTGATTATCATGCAAAGTATGAAATTTCATATATATATATCTGTACATGTATAATGTTATGAATAAAAAATTAAAAAGCATTGACAACACAGTTCGTGTTTGGTGTTTTCAGTAGTATGGTAGATTTCAATGTGCAGTACAAGTCACATGTAGTTGTAAATAGAGGACTCCATGCATTGAATTGAGGTTATTATATTCCAGAGAAATTAGCATAACAGAACCAAAATGACAGCCAGTCAGCCATACCCAAATGGTAAAGAAAATCAATGTGTATATGTAAGTAATTATATGTGGTCTTTTTGTTAAGTTTGAACAAGATCAGTCAAAGCATATCTGAGGGCAGGGCAGATGTAACCCAATTTGAATAGCTCTAATTTCAGGCTCAGTCCAAATGAGGATTTACAAGCAGTCTCTTGGCCAAGATAGCTCCGCTGTTAGCAATGCACATTTCAATTAAAGAATTGAAGATATCACAAATGAACAAATCTGAGAGGTACACTTGTAGTACCTATATATATATAAAAAATTAGAGAATTAAAGATATCATCACAAAATGAACAAATCTAAGAGAGGTCTACCCAAGGTACATCAAGTATCAAATCAATCAGAATAGTAGTTTCCAAGAAGAAGTCGAAAAAATAAAACGTTGATGCGAATGGTGACGACAGACGATAAGCTCCACTCGATAAAGTTGACAGCAGAGCTAAAAATATAGTAGTAGTAGTAGTAAGTTCATGATATTTAAAGTCGCAATGAATTGAATGTATTGAAATCATACAAATATTTATAATTGAAAATATGACCTTAGAATTCTCAATGTTAATAAGAATTTATTTCCATAGTAATAATCAATGACTATATTTCATAATATTTCTTTAATATTTTTCAGGTTTACTTCATCGAATAATTCCCACAAGGTTTCTCAATGAAAACAATGGTGTCAATGGTAAGAAAAGAAAAATCATTGATGCTATTCACTTCAAATGTGGAACAATAAATCAGGCAAATATTCATGATAAAAACTGGACACCTTGCATGAATATGAGGGTGTCTGGGAATTCAAAGAACACGTACGTCAAGTGGAGTTACTTGTTACTTACAAATCATAACCTAAATCAAGGCATAACCTAAATCAAGGCATAACCTAAATCAAGGCATAACCTAAATCAAGGCATAACCTAAATCAAATCATAACCTAAATCAAGGCATAACCTAAATCACCAACCTGATGATGATTTGCATGTGACCTTGGTCACAGGTCGATTGCACATGACCTTGACATGTCGTTTGTACATGTCCTTGACATGACGACTGCCCATGACCTTGGTCACAGGTTGGTTGCACATGACCTTGACATGTCGATTGCACATGACCTTGACCACATGTCAACTGTATGTGACTGCTGCATCATAACATTTATAACACAACTCAACTTATAGGTAATGGTAAGGCTACAATGTAATACAATGTAATATGATGTAATACAATGTAATACAATGTAATACATTACAGACATATTTATCATGTTTTCTGAACTTAGAATTTAATACATTGTACAACATATGCTGCATATTTTTACTGTATTTGACGCTTGACCATGCAAATTTGGCTGTCTTGCCTACCCCATGGTCAGAGCCAAGCATTGCTGATAATAAATTGTATGTTAAAAATCCCATTGCCAGTTACAGCACTGTCAGACTTTCTTCATCGCCAGTCACAGCACTGTCAGACTTTCTTCATTGTTTGTTACATTGAACATATCTGGACTGCTGACAAATTCAATTTCTCTTGACCTTCTATGACCTCTGTGATGTCTTCTTTGAATACTAACATTATGTCTTTGCTGAGTGTACACCAACATTGCAAAGAGGGAGCCGCCAAGAAACAAAACAATAACTGATAATATAATGATGGTGGTTGTCATTCCTGATGCAGAGGTATTTATTGCTGTAATAAAAACACATAAACTTGAATGAATTATGATGTAATGACATAGTTGGTGAAGATGTTTCTTGTGATTTTATATTGCGAATAAAACGGGGAAGCTTGGGAAACACATCAAAAAATGGGGAAAGTTACTTAAAGTGTTGCACTTACCTCACTACTTCAAAGTTTTTGAAATTTCTATGTAAATGTATAGTTTTGATGAATATTGATTATGTATTTTGAGCAGTACGAGAACCACAAAGAATGATGACATCACTCACACTGAACCACAAAGAATGACATCACGTGCACTGAACCACAAAGAATGATGAAATCACTCACACTGAACCACAAAGAATAATGAAATTACTTGCACTGAACCACAAAGAATGATGACATCACTTGCACTGAACCCTGAACCACAAAAAAATGATGACATCACCTGAACTGTTGTAAACATTCTTTTGCCTTACTAAGCATGGAAATCCTTGACCGTTCATATAAGTAATATATGTACCACAAGAGTACGTCTAAATGTAATTGAAAATTATTTTCTTTGATTCTGTATATTTGTTTATTTTCTGATAATCGTTGACTTGACATAACACCTGTCAGTTTGTATAGTTATTAATATCTATTATTTATTGGTTTTGTTACGTAGAGATGGGAGATTTTGACACAGAAACCAGTCCTAACAGACTGTCTGAAAAGTTCTTAATAGCAGCATCTATTTGACAATATCAATGTAATAAGAGCTCACCACATTGTTCGTCTATGCCATCTAAACAGTCTTTTACACCATCACATACATTGTCACTTTTGATACATGTTCTTCCATCATCGCATACAAATATATTGTCAGTATCTGGACAGTTTATAATGTCTGCACTTGAGTTTACAACTATAATACAGATAGAATATCATAATGTCATACACTAATGAATTACTGAGTGTGAAACATATCACACAATGAACTAGAATGTCCTAATACATGTTTTTCTGTTCATACATTATTCCACTACATTTATATTTGAAGCCGATGCCATGAGATGAATAGAGAAATTTTATCAATTGTTTGACAACAGCAACTCACTCTAGAAAAACAATGGTGCTCATTCACATGGTTCCAACGCAATTGATTTTAAGGTGCATGACTGAAAGATATATGTGGATTTAAGTTTACAATAGTTATCTATGCAGTTATTAATAACTATGTGGTTAGGAGGCCTTTAACAATACGTACAACAGTTCACTTCATCTGAGGCATCTTGGCAATCTTCAGATCCATCACATTCCCAATCCTTATTTAAACATTGTCCGTCATCACAAATAAAATCATTATCTGCACATGATGGACGAGGAATTGAAGCTGTAGGAGAGATTAATAAAACATAGACTATGTTAGTATGTCTGCATAATAGTGTCAACCGATGTTAGAATTGTCTGCAGCACAGCATTAACTAATGTTGCTTATATAATGGAGCAAACAGTAGGTGTTTTGAATTGAAAAGTTTTCCTCAATAAAAGTATTATCGTGTTTGACAATAAGTTTATTTTAGATTTTTCCCCTGCACACTCAAAAACTTTTATTTTGAAATCTGGAGGAATTTGTCTGGTTAATTTCTTTTTACAAAAAATAAACAGTAAAAGGAAAGTTGTGCATCAGCCTCTGGACTCCAGCAGGATGGAATAACAATAACATTGATATGTTATTTTTGATCTAGTACAGTATCACAGTTTATCAACTTAAACAATCCATTTATTATACTTTGAATAAAAAGTAAGAAGAGAAAAATAATGGCAAGACATAAACATGATAAGATTAATTTTAGAATCTGGGCCTGCGTTTTATTACTATATGCACATTAATGCCACACCCACCCACTACACTGGAGTAAGCCGACACACCGGTACTAGTAACTCTTAATGTTGAACATTGAACATAGAACATAGTATTAAACATGGATCGACATATACGGTTGTATGTCCATGGCAACATTTAATGTAGTTTCTGACACCAATATCAATGTACTACATGGTCATACGTACTAACTTAATATGACATCCACAAAATAAATGTAAACAAAAACATTGCTACAGGCTACAGTGATCAACTAGGGATAGTTTTTTTTACATATATCAAAAAAGACAGCCACAAAAACTCACGCCAAAAATGCGCATATGTTATTAACAAACCTCTAGACGGTGATATGACTAAAACTAGTACCCAAATAAGAATACACTTCCACGATTTGCACATAGCTCATCGTTTCCATTGAATGCGAGTGTCATTTCTTCGTGATGACCTTAATACAAATTGTCCCCTTAGGCGGAGTAAGATTTTAAACACCCCTTAACTTATTAGTTTCAATACACTCGTTGTGACTTTTACTTCCAGGTTTCAGTTTGTTGTATTCACAGAATAGAACGACAAAGCTTAACTGAGCAAGGATAACTTAACTTTGTTTTAAGTAATTTGGTCATGTGCTCAAGTTTGTCTGATCGATTAAATAGGAGAAATCGCTTTAAATTATATTACTGTCGACGTTCCCCGGCGACGTTCTTCTCCAAATGTCTCTTGAATTCGTTTTCTTCATTAATCCCCGTTTCAAAGTGGACTGCAAAACGTTAGTGTTGAGGAGCGAGAATTAAAAAAAAAAAGAATTTGTAGACGATCATAAAAGTAATGCGTGTATGATTGAACTGTAACTTGTACTGAATGCGAATGAACTGGATGTTAATATTATGCAAATTAGCTGTTCATTATGTCTGTTCAATAATACATTTGCTGAATTTCAAATGAGACCTGTCCTGCATATTTAATATAGTTTGTAGTTTTCTTTTCGTTTCGTTTAGTAGCATTTTGCTAATTCGTTTGCTAATGCTTCCACAATAGGTGAACAGGATTTAGATAGTGAAAGTAAATGTTTCCTCGCCAGCACAGCAATACAATTATTTTCCAACTGTATCCAGTACCGTACTCTGCTTACCTCTGGTGATTTGTTGAAATTGCTCCCCAGCTTCAATCACATCCTTCCGGTGGCTCACTACACATTTACAAATAAAATTGTATAGTATTTCTGGGTATGGATTACAAAAAGTTCATTTGTATTCTTGGAAACACACTAGGAGTATGAAGCATTTTTTTATTAATACTCGAACTCGAACCATAGATTCGTGTGGGTAAATTGCAACTTTCCTGTCAATACTACCTTTCAGTCATGCAATATCCCTATTTAATTCCACCAGACTGTTGCAGCGGGTGCAAATAAGATTTGTACGGGTAAATTACAACTTTTGTATAGTCATAAGAATGTTGCAATGTCCATGGTAACAACCTTACGTTGTAACAGTTTTTATACGCATTTTGAAACTAATTTACCTCACCGTTCGTCTGAGGTGCGGGGCGCACAACGTTGGAGTCAATGCGAAGCTACTTAAAAGATCGTGCCTGATTGGCTACCCTGCCCTAATACCTAACAGTCAGACTAATCAGAGAGCAGCTTGCTTGTTGACAGGTTTGTTCGACGTATCAAGTTATATCTTGTATATATGCTTCGACTCAACTGTAACGTATCAGCGATGCCTTCTTCGTTCTCATAAATGACACGAAAAACTTTAGCCGTGTTATAATATTACTTTAATTTAAAATAGAAAACTTATTTATAGTTCGTATCTAAACAAAAAATAAATAGTCCAAAATCAGGGAAAGTGAGATTGGTGCAAAACGCAGGAAAGTGTGTGTTTTTTTTGTTTTTTTTAACTTAAATCAGTTTATAACGCCAACAGGAAAGTTCCTCACATATTGCAATGTCCAGATGGAATTTCCTATGAAGTTAACTGACTCCCCGTACGTTTGCGCCCGCAGGAGTACTAACTACTGTTAGTACGTAACTAGTATTTCACAGATGCACATACATTCTACAGAGGATTGCGTTCTACATTTTAAGTCCACCATCGATATACAAATCTGACACACATCATCCAGCTATCTTTAAAAACTAAAAAATTAATAGTTTTGTTAGCTATCATTATTATTTTTGTTATCTTATCATCCAAATTGATAATATGTGACTGGCATCACTAAATGATACTAATACAACCGACTGAAGTGATTCCAAATCTTTATGATGATTATTCTCAACAAGAAATAATGTCAACAAGTTAGTGTGCATATTTTTGTTTACTCTGTAAAATATGGACCCCAGATAACAGCTTAATTTACATGTTCGTCCGTGACTGATACGAACTAACACCGTGCCAGTCTCCTTAAAAGTCAATCAGTGCATCATGTTTTGCTCATAATTGATTTGTTGTTTTCAAGTTGTTTTTGGTAACAAATCCAAAAATGCATTTTTAAGTGAAACTGACACAAATTTCAGAACATTCTTTATTGAAGTTTTGGGAGTACAATATTACATATTATGCGGAATATGTTACTTGACTAAACATAACACAATTTCAGTCACTTTCAAAACGCCCGTATGTTGGCGATTGTTTCGTTTTCCCCAAATTTAGTGCAAATATTTTCACATTAATTTCATTGTAAGACACTTTCAGCTATTTATTCATGTTAATCATTAAAGAGCTTTTAAACAATTGTCTAATAATCTTACATGCGTAAGAATAAGTGATTTGAAATTTGTTTTGACATTTTAAACTATTTCAAAAAGTTTCAATATATTTGCTATTTCTTATTGAAATGATTAACAAAATAAAATAATATGTAAAAGTAAATCACTTTCTAATTTTGAATAATTTCCCTCCAGAATTGTTTTGTCTAAAATTTAACTCCCAATGTGCAAATAGTGTGCCAACTAGAGAGTAAATCAAAATTCTTTTCGTGTCCAACTTTAGCCTGACAAGTTGGCGTGAGTGGCGCCCTGGACTGCTGCGAAGTCAGGCTGGTCCAACTTGCGTAGATAGTAAATAAAAAAAATCTTCCAATTAACTAAAAATTCTTTCACGCAAATATTGTAATCCTTAGATGTATTGAATAAATAACTCGGCAGTAGATCACCCAACAAAATCCGAACAACAAACTTATCTACCTTAATCGTGGCCACGCACTCATCGTGCATACCACAGCACTGCGAAGACTGAGCTCAAGTCGTTTATTGTATCACACTTTGCGGTACGCCAATGTGTCAATCGTTAAATCAAGTTATTAATATTTCAAGATCATAGTGTAATTGCAGGCACTCATATTTTGTAGTAGGCGTGTCAGTATCTAATAAACACGGTTGGCCGAACCCGCGATCGAAATCGACAAGACTTAGAATATTAACAACCCACTGCACACCAACATAGAAATCGACACCATCCTGCACGAGATTAGTAAGGCAATGTGGCGAAAATGTATTGGAACGAAAATGAATTGTGACGAATCGACTTGTGGGATTGACTGTGAATCTCGAAGATTACCACAGTACCGTCCGCGGTCGTTGCCAGTCTGTGCCAACGTTTTCATCTTCTTTAAAACTATATACGGCGTTGATACTTTCCAGGAAGGTCCATTGAGCGGTTCTCCTTCAGATTTGTTAATTTCGTGATAACTTTAATTTTCTAATATTAGTATTTTTGTCACTTTTGGTAAAATATGTTCGATCCAATTTCTATACTGTGGTTCAAAAACGATTTCAACCTATGAGTGGAGCGTCACAATCAGCATGTCAATGTCTGATAAGTAATGTCGCTCATTGATCCACTCTAGCTCATGCAAACCAGTTGTTGTTTACATGAACACATAAATGTTTAATAACAGAAGTTGTGAACAACGTCATTACGTATGTTTTGGTTATTGCAAACCAGTTACCGAGCATATATCAACTAAATAACAATTCTTAATCAATTTAATTATTTTACCATAACCAAATTTTTACTGAATATTTTTCATTCCATGTTCAGATCTTTATATTATTAAATATCTGCATGAAATTATAGAAAAAACTAAATGATCGACAACTATTAGAGCATACAAATGTAATTTGTAATCAGAAAATTTTGACCTTGTTAAAATTTGTTTTCACACAGCTGACAGTCTCCAACACCACCATTGTATTGACGAACCCAGAATAAATAAATAAGCATATTTCATTTCGATAAAATGTCAATAGAGGGCGCAATTTCATAAACACATAATCAAGCGAGCTTATATGCAAAGTTATAACACTTTACGTTATAATTTATATGTTTGTCACAGTTTATTCAGAAGATATTGTATTAAAGAAATGTACAAATATACAAACTTGGAGACACCAGGGTAGTATCCCAAAATGTACAATTTTAAATATATTGACATAAAAATTTGAATGACGCATATAAAAACAATATTCACACAGCTTTATAAGATTATCACTAAAGAGACAGAGAGAAAAAAGGAGACAGGTTATTAGAATGTAAAATAGTGATGGAATTCCATACCAGGATTTCTTACAGTAAACTTCAAAGACTTTTCAAGGCCCAAAAATGTAATTTTTAGAATTCCACTACATAAATCCTGTATTATAAATCCTGAATATTCAAAAGATGACAACACTTAATACCATTGGTCATTCATTCTAAAAAAATAGCATATATACATATTTATCCTTAGTACTGTTAATATTGGTAGTTACCTTTTTAACAATTATAGTGATGTAGACATTGGTTGGTACCAAAACTACCACTTTCTTTGGATACCACCTAGTTTGTGAAAAAAACAAAGATACCTGAACAGATAGTGGCTTTCCAGTTGTACTAGGACCACCTGCATTACCATATTTCCCTCTAACTTGAAAACAAAACTACATTACTGATTGTAGCATTTTATTGTGAATTAATGGTTTTCTTGTTTTTCCAGGCTGTATAAGGTATTGATCTCAACATTTATAGTGGGGAAAAAAGCAAATTTAATGTTCACAATACAGCAATACATCATAATAGAAAACATATTGCAGTCTCAAGATATGAATATGGTACAGGTTGACATCAAACTAAAGAACTGTGCAAAACTACAGATTGTTTCTATTATCACACCATATGAAAAATAAATCTGATTATACCATTTGTCAGTCAGGATAGAGCAACAAAAAAGGCACCTGGATAAGATTACATAGTTTCTATAATCCTTTGAATAACAAAGCAATCATAGACTCACTGTTTGGTATCAGATATGATGCAATGGACGTTTAAAGCTACTTTAAAACATGCAGACGTGTTTTACAATGTAACAAATACATTGTGATTCTGACATTAATCTAAATCAAATAGCTTTGATTGACAAGATATACCAAAATAATTTTAATATTTTGCCACAATAATCAATAGAAACGAATAAATGTGAAAAATAAAAAAAAAATTTAAAACAAAACTTAGATACTTTTATTTTGTATGTTGATTTTAGAATAATGCTATAATAAGCAGTTTACAGTCTGCTTTCTCAAGGGAATAAAAAACAGGATTATGAAAATAGGGGAATTTTCATGAGAAATAAAAAAATTGTTTTTTAAAAAACTATAAATTATGTTCAAATATTAACAATATGGACTGTGAATGGTCATTATCATTAAACTGCAATTAAATTTAAAACTAAATCCATAAAATTTCCACAGGTTCCCTTATTTTCATTCTGGCTTTTAATTTTAAGATTCTAGAGATGTATCTGAATATCAGATCAAGAGCTGTTCATACCAAAATTATTTTTTATACATTTTGTAAATTATTTTTGATTTTTTCAAAATCAATTGTTTAAAAATCCTAAAACATTGATTTATTATTCCCAAATTCTCAAGAAATAATAACACACATTCAAATTAAAGTACCGAGTATGGTATAATTTTGTAACTTACTTGTTTTATAAACCATGTATTTATTCTATACAATTGCTGTATTAAAAACTGTACAAATCTTGCATAGTGTACACACTATAGTCCATTCAGTCATCACATGGATATAACATTTAAAAAGGTAATGTGGATATATTTTGGGCATTTTTAAAATAATTTTGTTGATATTGCATCTTGATAATAACTTTAGGGTATGATTTACTGTAAAATAAAAATATTTTGGTCGCAAATGTAGCAGTATTCATTCAAAGAAATATTGAAAACACAAGTTTTTAATTAAATGTATGTACCGGGTAGATAAATCCAGGATATAAGCGTGTTGGAGTTGTTCAGTATTTCATTGAATGAACACTACCATGTTTGCTGCCAAAACTAAATTTGTATTTTACAATAAACCATATTATATTCTTCTCAAGATATCAAACACTATTATAAAAAGATGCTGAAAACTACTTGACGTTATCCACATTGCCTCTTTACTTAAATCAGAATATTACAATTTCAAATATATACAAACATATTTACATCTATACAAACTATCATAGAAATAAATAATCTGAAAAAGAAGCTTATTATTAAAAATTATTATTAATACACAATTTGGTGTCAATTTAATTGCTTGAAATGGTCACTCTTGATTACTTGAGAACATGAGGGTTATGAATCATCAAAATACAAAACTTATATTCTGACAGCACCAGAGACCCCCACAGACCTTTAATAATCATCATCCTTTCAAAAAATACTTTTATCATCAACTTGGTAACAAGATATATAGTTACAATGTGCCTGTAATCGTTCCCTTTCCTACAGTTCAGATATTGTTGAGCCTTTCCTTTGGAGCCTCACCAGCTCATCTCTGATGGCACGAATCAAAGGCTGTGGATTCTCTCCCACTTTCACAGAGTAGGCAACATCCATTTCATCGTAATCGTCATTCCGTGGTTTCCCAGCAGTTCTCTCCAGCTTTGAACTTGACAACATATCCAGCTCAACTTGTTCCCGGGGGGTTTTAGTCTCCGGTATCTCAACACGAGGAGTGACTCCCTCTTCAGAAGTCCAGCTCAGTTTAACAGGAACCGATTTCACACCACCATTGGATAAGGACTCCATTAAAGCAGGCTGTGCCCATTGTGTGTCCATTTCTAAACTGTCAGTCATCTGAGGACTTGACAATTCACCGGTTGTATCTAAAGGTGTATCGTTGCTATGGACACCAGGTGAGGCTATAAGCTGACTCAGTGTTAGAGGTCTTGTCTTTGAACTTGACATTGGTGGATGAACTTTATTAGCTGGTGTTCTCAGTAGATTGTCTTGTGTTGTGTTACTACCTGGCAAAGTCAGGATAGTACCAGTGAGAGGTGATTCCAAGGTCAGAGGTGGCAATTGTCCTGGTGCTTTAGCCTGCAATTAAAACATGAGGTTAAATCAGAAAGCATTGTTAAATGTGCCAAATTACTAAACCAACTATTTTTGTTTTGTCAATAGCAGGCCAATCAGATTATAAATAGTCGTAAAACAGTGATCGTTTAAAGACCAAAACATAATGGTTTGGCTTCTCTTGCAAATCATTTTATTTCTTTACTTTACTTTACACCACATGAAAGTACACACATATATTTCCCCCCTTATATGCCTCATATCAGTGTGGGTCCATTACCGTACTCACAGAAAGAAGGAAATTTCAGCTACCCTTCACATTAGTAGCAGTTGTTCTACTTATTATTCAAATAAAGCTTATTTTTTTCAAAACAATCTACTTATGTAAATCATCAGCTATGCCGGGAAGAACACTCACTTCTTTGGGTGACAATATTGCATTAACTTCATCCTGAGCATTGTATGTATTCCATATCAAACCACCCGATGATTTGTCTGGTAACTCAGTTACAGGAACAATAACTACTTTGGTTTGTCCCTGATGTCTGTATCTGTCATCTCTGTAAACAAATATGTTCATTTAGTAAGTGAGAATCACAAGATGGTAATGGTGGTGGAGGTAGGGCTGGGGGTTATTGGCAAATGGGTAAAGGTTATATACCGGTATACAATCTTAAAACATAATCTTTGGGATTAAATGGCCGACAGTCGGTCAGAAATCATCAAAAAAAAAATGTTAATGAACATACATATGTATACCATTTTGTTTTGTCTTAGTTCCTACTTTGAACAAAATCGGTCAAAGCATGCCAAAGAAATGACTAATACATGATACATGAAAATAAAACCAACATGGCTGCCAGTCAGACATTTTGTATCAAATCACAAAACAAAGTGATCCGCATCATCAACTCACCACGAGTGATTTCAATACCAAGTATGAATGAAAACAAGCAGCCTATCGGCTGAGATAGCTCCGCCGTTAGCAATGCACATTTCAATTAAAGAACTGAAGACATCATTAGAAAATGAACAATATGTATAGTATCAAAGCAATCGGACAATTGGTTTTTAACAAGAAGTCGAAAATATCACTTTCTACCAAAAATGACAAAAATATTCACCGAAATTAGAGAATTGAAGATATCATCACGAAATGAACAAATCTGAGAAAGGTCTACATGTAGTATATATATATGTAATATCAAAGCAATTGAACTTTTGGTTTTTAACAAGAAGTCGAAAATATCACTCTTTACCAAAAATTACAAAAATATTC